TGGCAGATTCAACGTTCAGGAGCAACAAGAGGTTTGATTCAATTTGAAATTTGGAAAGTTTTTCTTTTTCTTATTTGTATAACACACATAATCAAAATTGCTTCGTAAATTCTTCATATTAATAAATATACAGTCGCGTTACAGTTTCCGGAAGGCCTCCTAATGTTTGCATGCACGATTGCAGACATACTTGAAAGGTTAGATTGTCAAGTACACAACCTCGTAACCGAATTCTATTCAGTTTATTCTCTAATTAAATTATAATATTTATAAAGGGTTTGTATGACTGGTGGTATTTCACACATGATGTTTCATTTACAGAAAATTGTCTTACGTACGCATTTTTAAAGGGTGATGCTCCCGATCCATTAACAGATCTTGCGGATATGCAATGTATGTGGTTTGTCCTTGAAGAAGGTGAAAGCTATATAAGGCAAAAAAAATGGGGAAAAGCCCTAAAACGTTTTCACCAAATTGAAAAGGTATGGTTCAATTTCTCGATATTTAAGAAGTCGCTTGTAATTCAACGTTATTCATTCTAAACTCTTAACAATACAGCATTTTGCCGATATAACGGACGATCAATTCGATTTTCATACTTATTGCTTACGTAAAGTCACTCTTCGGGCATACTTGAGGCATATATCAACAGATAAGCACTCTGTCAATCAAAAGTTTAAGCAAAATATTTAATGATTTATGCTTTAATTTTTCGTAATAGCATGCTACGGCTGGAGGATCAATTACGCTCTCATCCATATTATTTTCGTGCAGCACAAAATGCCATAAAGGTAATAGAATATGATATTAATGATCATTAATATCTTGTTTTCTATTTACGATTACGTATAAAATTATTTAGATCTATATCGAATTATACGACAATCCAAATACGGTAACTGTTAGTGAAGAAAATGAAGACTATGGTAAGTTCATCGTCCACAGCTATAAGATATGTATTACAGTCAGGCTCGGTAACCACATTCGATCATTAGCAAATATGACTGAGGGTGAGAAGAAGAAGCTAAGAAGCAAGGCTAACAAAGCTGCTCATAAAAAACAAAAAGAAGATGAAGAAAGAAAAGGTTTGCCAACAAAAAATTGTATTGTATTGCTTGTATGCGGTAATTAATCACATTTTTTATTGGAAAAAGCGAAGGAAGATGTAAAAAAGAAAGTTGATAAACCTCAGGACGATGATCCGGATGGTGAAAAACTTCTTAAGGTTTGTCATTTATTTCAAATTAAATAATGTGTCAAGTGCGAGGTCTTAATACAACTCGTTCTCGACGCAAGGAATTTATTTTAAAAATTTTTCTTATTAAACTGAAATTAATTAAGTTAAACTTCATAGTAACACTTTTATAATTGTTTTATTAATTAATAAAATTTATTTATAGACTGAAGATCCTTTGGGTGAAGCGTTTAAGTTCTTACTCCCATTGCAAGAACTATCGCCAAAAAGGATAGAAACGCATTTACTGGGATTCGAGATCTATCTACGAAAAAGTATTATTTTATGATTGTGCTATAGATTTTGTTCAATTAATGATACATATTATAACTTGTTTATATTTCGTGCTTTGTCTAGAGAAGTATCTTCTTGCTCTTAGAGCTCTTTTACGTGCTTACAATATAGATAAAGAAAATGCTACATTGCATAATGATATAATACGATTTCATTTAGCGGGTAATAATCATAATTATTTGCAACTTTGAGTCTTGTTATTTTTAAATCCACTCCTTTTAACTAATAATTTCCATTTAGTGTCTGATGATAAAGAAATTAATCCAACAGTAAATCAAGTTATTGCCTCAGAAAAAGTTTTTTTTAATTAGATACAATGTAATTTTGAAAATACCATTTCTAGCTTCGAAAGAATATTTAATACTTCTATATAAAAATAACCCAATTTTTAATGTCAATTTTAAAAAATCTGGTTAAGACACTGTGAACTGGGTTATCTGTTATAAAATCAAAAGCTTGAACTTATAAGTCTGAGAAAAACGATTCGTTATATTCATAATTGACTATGCATAAATATATATATGGGCTAGGTGCTACAGAAAGGGGGGAAATTGACAAAATTTTTAAAATTAATTTTTTTACATAAATTAATTTA